GGAGGCTGCTGGGCTGCGGGTTGGAAAACAGTTGGCCAAGTCCAGTGCAACATTTTTTCTGCCAACCAGGCGCTGGCAGAGCAGTTGGGGATTGCTGTTCTGATAAACCATTGCTCAGAGTCAAAGGTGATACGGGCATTAAACAGGGAGGCACTAAGGAGAACTGGAGCATTAGACAAGCGAGGTAATGGATACACCTGTGGTGGCTCCTTTCGGATTAACAATGTGCATCCCTGCTTGATGCAAAAAACGGGCAAGGGTTCTTCTGTTTGGGTGCTTAACCATTTCCCTTCTTGTCTCTGGGATTGGTAAACTTCCCAGTGGGGTTGGTCTATCTACTGGAGTGAGTCTCCATCTGCGTACTTGAACGCACACTGCCCAGGTGTGACTATGGCATGGGTATCTTGCAAAAATGATTCTGGCACGGTGCCCCCCGTGGGTTCAGCTAGTTGTTCTGGGTTGCCCACGGCTGTGCCCTGCAGACTTTCCCAGACTGTTTGGCGATATGCGGCTATGACACATTCAGTTCCGTGAGCGAGCCCCCCTTCATCCCTATGGCGGAACCACAAAATACCCGGAACATGGGACGTGTTGGCTCCCCATTCAATGGACTTGACAGCATAAGAGCTGTTTTTAAACCACAGCTCCCCTGTTTATTGAAGCTGGTCCGAAGCTGTCTCCACTTGGAATAAAGCAGCTGACAAGCAATTTGTGCATCGATCCACTGGCTCCCTAGTTTTGGGAACCGCCGGAGCTATTGTTTCCCATGGAAGTGGGGTCGGAGGGTTTGGTCGCCTCCTTGGGCTCCGGGTGGTTGTAGAATCTCGAGCTGCAGGCAGGGTTGTGGCAGCGGTCACGTCGGGACCCGGGGTGGGCAGCACACCTGCAGGCAGAATATAACAGCACAAGAGCCATTGGAAGAAACCACAACAATCTCCCCGTCCCACGCTCATTTTTCCCGATCCTGGCATATGGGAGGAAACCAAGCAACCACCCTGTCCCACAGTAACATTGACAGATTCCCCCTTGCCAGCCCACAATCCATTGTCGGCGACTGAAAGGCCAGTTTCGCACTTCTTTGATTGCAGCTGGGCGCTCCCAGTATCCCAGCATGTCTGAGGCCTTGGCAGTGGGTGCGATCTGGGGCACGGGAGCACATGAATGCCCCACAGTAATCAAACAGTAGCGAACGACCAGCAGCCCCGTCATAATGGCATTTCACCCCTTCATTGCTGGATGAGGGTGGCGGCGTTGCTCTGGAGCAGGGTGATGACTCCAGAGCGCCCTGAGGCCGCTATGGCTGTGCCCGTGGATGGACCCAATCTGCAGGAACAAGGAAAGATGGAGTCTGGCTCCCGTTAGATGGATCTGACCTTGACACCCACCATGAGTTATGTGTGTCCCATACCATTAGCACCCCTTCCCATTTGTCCCCCTGCGGATGCCTAACTACTACCTGGTCTCCCGCCTGGACTTTCCCCCAGCCACCCCTTGGCCGTTCCACTGCCGGCTCGTGGGGCCCACCCCAGCCGAAGGCTTGCTGCATGAGGCTTCCTCCGGCATGGGGCCGATTGTTGGCCCAGTTGACTGAGCGATCCAGGTACAGGTCCCAGTCCTTGAGGGCCGAACCAGTGGCCATTCGCAGCTAACTACTACCTGGTCTCCCGCCTGGACTTTCCCCCAGCCACCCCTTGGCCGTTCCACTGCCGGCTCGTGGGGCCCACCCCAGCCGAAGGCTTGCTGCATGAGGCTTCCTCCGGCATGGGGCCGATTGTTGGCCCAGTTGACTGAGCGATCCAGGTACAGGTCCCAGTCCTTGAGGGCCGAACCAGTGGCCATTCGCAGGTTGCACTTTAAGATACCATTGGCTCGTTCTACCAGTCCATTAGATTGCAGGTGATAGGGAATGTGATAGGTCCACAGCACATGATGTTTCGCGGCCCACTCATAGACAAGATGGTTGCAAAAATGTGAGCCGTTGTCACTTTGCGGCTCCACGGGGGGGTGGGTAGATGGCTAGCAGGTCTTCCAGTGCTGCACAGGTGTCCTGTGCCGTGGCCTGAGTGGAGACCCGGGCGAACGTCATTCCAGTGACTGCTTCCACTGCTACAAACACATACTGTCGCTTTCTGGGGGTGCGGGGGAGCGGGCCTATAAAGTCACATTGCCAAACTTGCCATATTACCTTTCCATCGCGTAACGACAAAGGGGTAGTCGAGATGGGGGTTAGTCAGGCCTTGACTTCCTGACAGGTGATGCAGGAGTTGACCAATTCCTGCGCTTCCCTTTTAGTTAGGTGAATGCCGCAGGTGGCTGCTAGGCGAGCAGTGCCATCGCGGCCAGGGTGCCCATGCTGCCGATGCAGCCTTTCTGCAGCTAGCACTCCAGGGGGCTGCTGGAAGGGCCGGGCGCCTTCTCTGGGGGTGGCTGAGCCTCTGCTTCAGCAACAAGGGCTTCTGTGCTGTCTTTGGCTAGCTCGTCCACTTGCACGTTCCACTTTGCTTCAGGCCCTTCAGCTCTTTTGCTCCCATGCACTGCACTAACATGTCGTATGTGTAAGGGAAGGCCTCCCTGTGCCATTTCCCACAAAGCCTCCCACTCTTCACAGCTCCAAATGTCTCTGCCTCACCTTGTGAAGTTTTCCTTTTTCCACAGGGGTAGCCACTTGGTGCAACCCTCTACTACCATCCATGAATCACAGTAGATATACATGGGTTTTGTATAGCCTGACCCTAGTAACAGTTCAAAGTTGGCCATGTCGACTACAGCAGCCAGCTCGGCGTACTGCGCACTTTGACCATTTCCCTCCATTACAAGTTGCTTACCATCTCGAACCCGAATGGCAGCACTCCTCCAGGTGCGACCTTTGGCTGAGCTGTCGGTAAACTAGACCTCTGCGTCTTCTGATGTTTCCATGGCGGGTGAAAAGGGAGGTGCTCCCTTGATGGGAGATGGCTCGTCAGAGCTGGCTGCGTCTGGGTATATGTTAACCGTGCTTTCTGTGACTTTTTCCACTAGTGCTGGATGCCCCTTTGGGGTTACCCGCTGAGCCTAACTTAAGATATAATAGATCCATTTTTGCACTGTTGTTTCTTGGGCCCTCCCTCCGGGCGGGAGGTGTCGGTCAGACAATGCCATTCCCAGGATGGGTACCGGGGTGGTTATGCCAGTGGGTAGCTCCCCTCTCAGGGCCTCTGTGGCTGCTAAAGCTGCGGCTGCTGCACACAGCATTTGTTCCAGCAGGGTGTATCGGACTTCAGCCCCTTTCCAGCCTCGGCTCCAAAACCCAAGGGGCTTTCCCTCTGCCTTAGGTGTATCCCTCTGCCATAAGCTCCAATGGGGCCCCCCCGCCGGACACGTTTACATGGAGCCAGAGCTCCCCTTCTGGGCGCCGTCCTGCTAGGGAGGCCTGGGTGATCACTGCCTCCTTGAGGGCCCACATGGCATGTTGGTGCTCGGGGGCCCATTCCCACTGTGCTTTTTTCTTGCATAGATTATACAGAGGCCGGGCCAACACACTAAACTCAGGGACATGCAGGTGCCAGAAGTTAAGCGCTCCCAGCTGGGCTTGCAGCTCTTTTACAGTGTTGGGGCAGGGGTATCTACCAGGCTCTGCAGCTCTTTGACCGGTATGGTGGGTCCACTGCTGCCATTGGATTCCCAGGAATTCACACTGGGGCCCGACTTCTTGGATCTTTTTGCTGGACAGCGTGAATCCAAACGCCTGCACCTTCTCCTCTAGGGACTCAAAAGCAGAAATGGTTAATTCCCGGTCCTGGCCCCCCCACCATGACATCGTCGACATACTGCCAGACATGCACCTTTGGGTGACTCAATTGGACTTCACGGACCACCGCAGCTAGCGCTCCGTGGGCCAAGGTGGGGCTGTGCACCCAACCCTGGGGTAGGACTGTGTAGGTGTACTGCTGTCCTGGCCAGACAAAGGCAAACAAGGGCCAGTGATTTTCATGGATGGGGATAGCAAAGAACATGTCCTTAATGTCTACGGATCTCATCCACTGGGGGCCATAACACGTAATGTTTTCTGTTAGTGCAGGCATGGATGGGACCGCGGCCGTCAGACGGTCAGTGTTGGCATTCAAAGCCCTAAAGTCAATCGTCAATCGCCAATCCCCGTTTGGTTTATGTACTGGCCACACCAGGTTGTTGTATGGAGAATGGGTTTGAATGATGGTTTCATCCTCCAGCTGCCGATTGATGATGTCCTGGATGGGTCGTGTTGCCTCGGGGGGTGTGCGGTATTGAGGTCGGTGTACCCCCTTCGTGGGCGGCGGGGCAAGCGGGGTCATGCAACATCGGGCTACTGCTGTCATCACGTCCTCCTGCTCACCTTCCTGAACCGTGGCACAGCAAAACTGCTAGGTTTCCTGCTTAAAGATAAACCGCTGCCCCTGCAACACGTTTAGTCCCTGTAGGTTCGGCCCTTCCCGGAGCACAACAGTGGCTGCTGTTACTACAGAGCCGTTAGGCAAGGTGAATGCAGGCCGGACCAGATGTCCCGGTCGTCTGGTGCCTCCAACTCCTACACCTGGTAGGGGGTTCCCCACCCCCCTTCCATTCTGCACAGTCCAAAACGCACAGTTGAGCGCTAGTGTCAAGTAGCATGTTGATTGACCTTTTTCTTCCACTTAAACAAAACTTTATAGGCACTTGGATTAAGGGGCCAATATTATTCTCTGTTACCAGTCCCCAATCCTCTATTGCCCCCATGATGGCCCCTTGCCCGGGGGGCTGGGTCAGCCGGGCCTCCTACCGCTGGGGGTTGGGGTGCCGAGGGGTCTGTCTTCTGTCTATTTACCATAAACCTGTGCGCCTTTCCAGGTGGGAGATGCATCACCACAAGGGCTCTTTTCCATATACTGGCCAATGTATAATATATAAATCCTTCAATCATTTGGACAGCAACAGACAGACCTACCTTGTACTCTACCATGGCTACCCAGGCAACACTCTACCACTGCTGAGACAAATTTCGTTTTTTGTTGAGTTTTTTTAGGTTTAGGAAAGCATTTATTCTGCAGGTTATTGTTTCCTTTAAAACAACGGTTAATGCAGTTTCTCACACATCTGATATGCTGGTGTTATAAAGATCATTTAAATACAAACTTTTTAAAATTTTTAGCAGCCTTAAAAACATTTCATCAGTTGATTTGCTAAAAATACACACACTACCTTTTAATAAATGCCATTTTCCTAAACAAGCAAATGTGCAACTTTCATATGAATTGCTGCCCTTTGTTTCACATATTAGAATAACTTTTTGATCCAAGCTGGATGGAAGAGTCCTGGCCTGGGATCCAGAGAGAGGTTCAATTTTTAGAGGGGGTATTAGCAACAGTTTTTATATCTTTATGATATTCATACACAGTTCAACCTTTGACAGTTTCAACCAAACAAAGAACCGAATAACACAAAACAGACAAGACAATTTTTGTTGTAGTGGTAAAGCCATCGCTTAGGTGAGGAAGGTGCTGTTGATGGTAAAAAGGCCTCTCGGTTTATCAGTCACCTTTGCTACGAGATTGAATTTTACACTACAATTTCTGCAAAAGAAAATAAACATGCACAGACCCATCGAGGAAAACTCCTCGCAGTAAAATCATATTTACAGTGCTGACCTGTGCAGGCAATGTACATATTACTGGAGTTCAGGGGGGCGAGGATTTATATACACACACATTGAATGACAAGGATTATTTATATCTATGTTATTGTTTTCAATGGCCCATTGCACCATTTGCACAACTGGAATTGGAACAGTTACAATTTTTGTAAAATATAAAATCATGGGATGCTAATACCCTTGTTTTAACCACCTTACCATTTTAAAAAATGCGGGGGGGGGGCAGTTAGAGGAACAATTTCTCCCTTCAAATTTTTACGTAGAAAGGTTTTTTCACGTTCTTATTGCTGGACATTGTAAAATCTTTAGGCTACTTAGATAAAACAATACTGTTGTTCCCATGAATATGAATTAAAGCTTGCTTAACAACTATTCTCCAACCATTTGGGTTGGTCTAATACAAGATATCAAATTCACCCAAGGAACCTTGTCTGCCTATATCCTTAGACCAACACGGCTACAACCTAAACCCCTGCTAAAATTACACCGGCACTTTTGTGCCATGGAAATAGAAAACAAAACAAAATAAAAACTGCATTAGCCAAATTCAATATTGAAAATCATTTTACCCCTCCTGCTATAGCTGCTCCAATTTCAGAGTACTTTGTGACAACAGGGGCTGCAATAGCTGTTACTGTATTCACAGCTCTGAAGTTTATTGCCAGCCTCCGGGGGTTTTTTGCCCGCCATCAGAAGAAACCAAACTGGGGAGACGCGCACACTGGGCATCCGTGCTACCGCTGCCTGACTTAGCGTGAAGGGGTGAGAGGGCAGGGAATGAAAGGAAGCAGCGTGGCTGGCTGGCAGGTGGAGCTGGAGACCGGAGGGGAGGAGAAGCGATCACCACACTTCCGGAGCAGCCTCTCGCTCCGGGTTGGAGGACGGAGGCTGCTCAGAGGTATTTCCGGCCCCGGAGGGGCGGACGGCGTGGCTTCACTGCGAGCTGCAGGCAAGTAGGGTGGCGTAAAGGGGAGGTTGGAGCCCCGCAGAAGAAAACAGGGATCGAGACCCGGTAGGATCACTTTGGGCATTGCCTCAGTAAAGTCGTGGCAGGAGAGAAAACACAAGACCAAGTTCCTGGCAGAAGTCAAGGTCCACCCCGTCACCGCCTGTAGGTAGACAGCTCAGGGCCGTGGCAGCGACGCTCGTCACAAAGGCCTTCTGGGGAGGCGGCGGATCTTCTTAGGTGTTCGGGTGCAGCCTCGACAGGCCTCGTTTCTGCCTGGCCTTAGCTGTACGTGTGGCCAAATGCGCGTCAGCGCGGAGACCGGAGCGGCGGCGGCTTCTGAGCTGAAACGCATAGCAGAGCTTTGGTGCACAAGCGCGCGCACGCGCCGCCGGCGTGCTCCGCGTCACCACGTGTACAGCGCAGTGCGCGTCAGCTCGCACGCGGATGAAGGGAGTCTGCTCCGCAGCCGCGAACCTCCTGAGGGTCGCAGGCCGGAAAAGCACGTGTGTGAACGCTGCTGCAGCGCTGGGGCCTGAGCTCCCGGCCCGGGCACACCGCGGAGCGGCGCAGACACGAGCACGAGGCCGTCTGGCGGGTCCAGGGCTGCTCCGGGCTCGTCTGTCTGTCCGCTCCCCCGCGTGGGTCGTTGGGGGGGCGCTCAGCCCTGCCCTGTCCTGCCCCGGGAGCGCGGCACGACCCGCTGCTGCGGTCAGCGGTGCTCGGGGCGGCGGGGAAAGGAACCGGCCCCCGCCGCTCACACGCGGCCCCGCGGGGGCGGGGGGGGCCGACACCAGGGCG